GTCATGACACGTGCCTGACACGCTCCAACTTATGGTGTGAGAAGAACTGTACCTGGTACAGTAATGCCTGTGAGCCAGAAATCTAGAACATTCATTTCTTACCATGTAGGGTTCTGTTCCATTCAGTACCCTAATGGTCATTTTCATAAAGGCATTTGACTAGATTCTTAACGGCCAAATCAGGCTATTTCTGGGCATGGGGCCACATTTTCTAGCAAGAGTCTTGTTACCTAAGTACCAAATCATCAAAGACTAAAATGCTTAAAGACAAAAGTGACTACACAGTTTGTTCTGTTTTATTTTTTCCAACATGCTTGCGGTCTGGGGGGGATTGTAGAGTTGGGAGATAAGTGCAACCGAGAACAAGTGGGAGAAAAGACTTGGTTGGAGTCCATTCAAGCCTGAGCAATTAGCAGTATTTGGCCATGAGGTAGAGGCCTCTAAAAATAACTGGCCAACAGTTAGCAGTCAGGTCCAATTTCAGATCTAGAGGCCTGTGGAGTGCTTGGCCAGTTTAAAGCTCCAGTAGATTGAGAAGGGCATGTGGTGTACCTGATGCCTGCTGGTTAGCAATCTGTTTTTTATAAAGATTATTTTTTATTCATGGATTGAAGAAATCAAAATGGCTGAAGGTAAAGATATATTTTTATTGTTGAGTATTAAATTGGTTTGGAATCTAGTTGGCAAGTTTGAAGTTTATTTTCAGTTGTGTTTGTTAAGAATATTTTTGGCTAAGTACTTTGACTACATCCTTTATATTTTTTACTTTGAAATCCTAGAGACATTCACTTTCGCAATTTAATTTCTTGCATGAAATAATCTGTTTTTTTTTGAAATAATCTGTTTTTAACCTGGATATTTTTCATATCTTAATTGGAATAGTTTATTACAGAGAACATGTTTTACAAACTTTAGAAAGATTGTACAAGAAGCCTTCCTTATTTAAAGAATTAATTAAATAATTAAGTTACAGAAAATTTAAAGAATCAAATGTATTTAGTGATCATTTAAAATTACAAGAAATTCAAGGGCGTATATGTTTCATCTTACTATTGACAAAAATTAATTCACTCAAGCAAAGACAGCATTGGTGAAAATCTGCCCAACATTTTTTTTTTTTCTAAAGCTGAGAGTAACTGTAAAGAAAAGACACTCAGATTTCATTTTGGTTCTAAAATGAAGTCATTAAGCCTAAATATGTTGAATCTGAATTTTTTAATGTTTGCTTTTGCTTTATTTTGTACCGGAAGCCTATCTACTTACTCATGTTGAAATCTTTTTAAAGAAAGAAAAATAGAATTATTAAAACTACTTCCAACTCTTAACTGCCTAAGCAGCCACTGAAAGGATTTCTATTAATAGCATAGAGAATATGAGTCTCTCTGTTTTGAAAACTGTGTTGAGTAATTGGTTAGAATGGTTCACTTGACTATTTTGATAAGGTGCCTCATGTGCCCAGGAAGAAGAAAATGAGATAGATGCCCCATTTCAGTGCTATTAGAAACATTTCTCTGCTTCTCCATGGAGATAGTCTGCATGGAAAAGTAAGGTTTCTATGTAAATATGTAATTTCCAGCATATGGCTAACTAAAAGTCATCAATGATAGACTGACACTTTGATTGTAGTGGTTGATTGATCTAATTAACAGCTGTTTAAGTGCTGTGTGAATCTTCTGTTTCCCCTCTCCTCAAGCAGTAAAGTTACCTATTCTCCTTAGACCGTGTCTTCATGTTGGAGACGTATTTCACTGTTCCCCATGGTGGTTTTCAACTTTTGGTAGCATGTAGGAGAGATTAAAATGCTCTTGAAGGGGTTTACCTTCTAGCTTACTATATACCTCTTTTGTGTTTAATTGTTCTAAAACTGATCTGTCCTCTCAGGCTGACATACCATATTTACAAAAATCTATTAACTGGTATCGGTAGAAATATTTTTATGTAAATGATATCTATAAAAAGGCTATAATTCACTGTTTTTTTTAGTAAATATTGTCAGTAGCAGATTTATAATCTTAGAGTCATACTTCATTTGGTGTTATAAAGGCATGCATAAAATGTTGCTTATAATTTTGTATTTTATATCACTTTCTAACATTTAACTTTTAAGCTGACAAGCCTGTTTAATTAAAAATAGTAAAAATGAAGGTCTTTCTACAATTTTATATATTCTTGCATTATTAAAAACATTAAAATAATATTTTTAGGTTTAGGAAAATAGCTCCGAGGACTATATGCTTTTTGTATGTGGGAGATGGATATTCCATCCCAGCCACTGCTTGATTCCCCCAAAAGTTTCAGGGAGTGGCCCCAAAGCCATATGCTGGGATGAACCACTCAGCATTACCTGGTTTGACCCCCCCCCATTAATGTTTTAGTGGTAGATAAAAAATAACAGTTTTTACTTTATGCTAAAGATTGTTTGAAGGACTATGTAGCTTTGCCTACAGGCATCAATCATAAATGCCTCCTCTTGCTGTTTATCTTAATTCTTATGTCAACTCTTATTTCCTGGCCTTCATCAACACTTTGTGGCTCTAACTCTTCGGGGTTAGAGTGTTTTGAGTCTGTTCTTTAGATTTGTGCTGCATGTGCTGTCATGTCTAAAATATCATGTCTAAAATAACTTTAGATTTTAGGTTAAGATTTATTATTTAATGCACTTAGGGCTCTCAATTCTTTCTCTTAGCATTGGTACATATATTTATACACTATTTCCTAAAACCCACTTTTTATTTATATTGGATGGTACGGGTCATTACAATTAAAGATCACTGAATTTCCTTGGATGAATATGCTTTTCTTTGTGGGCTGGAGAGAGAGTCGAGTCTGTCAGGCGCTTGCTGGGTTGGATCCCTACACCATGTGTCCCCCACCCCCAACCCCACAACCCCACCAGTGATTCCCACCCTGACAATATAAAAATGAAAATTCACCCTTTAAGACTCAAATTTATCTTATTTAATTTCATATGGGATATTATCTTACATACTTAAATTGTTATATAGATGAATATGTTTGGGTACCTTTACCAATATGCATATATAATTTTTCTCAGCTTAATTTAGTTTTTATGGACTTCTTTGAAAAGTTGGTCCAATGGTTGGTTAAAAAGACTATAAATATATTTTAAAAACAATTCCATTTTAGTTTTTCCTTCTGAGAGAATTGACAATATAATTTAATGCTTGAAACTCTGTTAGGAACAGCTTAATAAATCACCACAAATAAATCCAAATTGAGAATCATAAAGAACTTATATTATTGTTTTGAGCCACTGAAAAATTACTATTAGTATTCTGTAGTTAGAACTGGGTTTTTGAGTCAGAAAAAGCAGTTTCTGGATTAGAGCTATTAAGGTTTTTTAAAAATTATTTTATTTTTATATACACACATATATACATATATATGTGGTGTATATATCTCAAGGAACTTAGATATATACCATGGAAATTGGATTCATTTCATAGCTGTACCAATAATCACTATGACTCAGAGTGAATTTCTTAATCATTCTATAAAACTGAATATTCCTGTCCCTATCTCCATTGATTCTTAACGAGGCTTTTTTATTTTAGAGGAAATATGAAAATGTCTGGGGGTGTTTTTGCTATGATCACTGGGACCTACTTATCTTTTGCTCCAGAGAAAACCTGACATATCTGCTGTCCTCCTCTGAAGAACAAATTATAGAAGTTGAAAATTTACCTCATACTAACCACTCTTGAGAAACTCTGGCGCGAGTTACTTGTGGCCCTATGCTGAAAGGAGCTCAGAAGAGATAGTTTGTGCTTGACAAATATAAAAAACATTGTTCCACTTTCCTATTTGCTTGAGAAAGATTTTTTTTTCTCAAAGGATGTGCAGATCTGATGCAGACTTTTTGCTCATACATTAATATTTCGTATATTATATTTCTTGTAAGGGATTGGCCTAATATTTTTTGAGGGGTGGGGGATATTGTCCATTATCTATTGATGTTATCACATTCATGATTTCTGTTTACTTTGTGTATGAGAAGGAAATTTCCTGAAGACTGAGGTATCATATTCTTATATATAATAAATGGCACCTTGGGCGGACAGCAGTTTAGAAAACAATTTCCTGCATGGAAACCAATTGCGAACAAGCCTTTTCCTGTTTCCTTAGATCCCTGTGGGTCTCATAAAGGAGAAAGAGTGAATTGTTATACTCTTCTTGCTTCTTTTCTCTGCTGACCTCTGTTGCCTATAAAAACTTAGTTTCCTTTCTTTTCTTTATCTCTCTGGCTAATAATATGAAGAAGGTTGTTTACTTTTCACTTAAGAAAAATATAAAACAAAAATCCTTTGTTCTTTGTCACTTAACAGTGTTTAAGAGTCTCTAGTTACTAAATAGGACCAATAGGATTTGGCTCTCTTTCTATGGGAAGTTTTTTCTGTGTTATGAGATATGAAAAAAGCATTCCTTTTTTTAAAAAAAATGTAATTTGGATAAAGAAACTCTAAAGTAATATCTGAAGCGATAGCACAGCGGGTAGGGCGTCTGCCTTGCACGCAGCCAACATGGCCGACCCAAGTTCGATTCCTCCGCCCCTCTTGGAGAGCCCGGCAAGCTACCGAGAGTATTTGATATGCCAGACACAGTAACAACAAAGTCTCCAATGGAGACGTTACTGGGCCCGCTCGAGCAAATCGACGATCAACGGGAGGGCCTTTACTTTACTTTACTTTACTAAAGTAATATATTAAGTGTTATTTTAAAAGTGATTAGCCCATTTTTAGGTTCTTTAATCTCCTTGAAACCTAGGTTTTATGTGTGTTATGTTGCCTGTGGTACATCTTTTGTTCTCAAATTTTCAGCATTACGTTTTCCGAGAATTTAACTGAAAACTAATTTTGAAGTGATCTACCTCTAATAAGTATAATGAAATTAATGGAAATTTAGTTGGAGCTTGGGAACATTCAATTGAAGGGGTGTTTAGTAAGTTTCTCTATTAATTTTGCACTTTTATTTTTCATCAGAGACAAAGCATGGAAGCCACAAGAATGGGAGGAAAGGAGGCATTTCTGGAAGCTCATTTTTCACATGGTTTATGGTCATTGCATTACTCGGAGTCTGGACGTCAGTAGCTGTCGTTTGGTTTGAGCTGGTTGATTATGAGGAAGTTTTAGGTAAGAATTTTGCTGTCATATACACAATGGAATAGAATTCAGCTCTAAGAAAAAGCAAAAATCATGCAATTTGCAACCACATGGATAGATCTTGAGAGTACTATGCTGAACGAAGTTAGTCATAAGGAGAGGGACAAGTACAAAATGATCTTCATATGTGGTATATAATGTAACATGGTAAAGAAACAACAAATACTTGAAGGTAACAGAAACTGAAAGATAACTGGTCTTTAATAAGAATCATATCACTGTTGGAGAAATGGGGGAATAGAATGGGCAAGGCAGGGAGAGACTTAGACACGGTGGAGGGAAGCTGAGGAGCGTGTGGTTTCGGAATGTTTTGTTGCATGAAACCCTGCCTTTACAAGTATTGTAAACCATGGTGTCAAAAATCAAGTTTAGAAAAAATAAAATTTAAAAATATACACATTCAAATAAAGGAGAGCAAATTTTTTAAAAGCAATTGCTAATAGACTGTGGAAAATAGAAAATAGACTGATGGCAATTCTACAGTATTTTGAAATATTAGCACTGACTGCTAATTGTATATACCAACAAAACAGAACAATAGCAAGAAAACAGGAGCCATAAATGAGTAATTGGAAGAACAATTATTAGTAGACACACACAGGACCATCCATTCACCAACAGTTAAATAAACATTCTTCTCCAGTGCATATGAAACATTCTCCAAGACAGACCACATTTGGGGGTGGGGGGCACAATTTAAGTGTTCATAATGTCATGAAAATGGCATTCATTTACTTGATACTTAGATCAAGTATCTTTTCTGACCACAAAACCATAAAGGTAGTAATTAGCTATAAAAAAAATAAATGCAAGAAATGTCTAGTTCTAAAAGTTTAACAACATAATGGATCACAAAAGGAAATCAAAGAAGAAATAAAATATTCCTCAAAATTAATAAAAATGAAGACACAAGCTACAAGAATCTGTGGTACACAACAAAAGAAGTAGTTAGGAAAAGTTTGTAGCAATACAGGCCTAAATAAAGAAACAAGAAAAAGTTTAACTCTCCCTGCCAAGACCACGAGCATCAGGACAACAGCAAGTGTCTGTTTACCCCCACGAGCAGCTCCCTGGGGCGGCCATGGCCCCAGAGGCACACAGACCTAATTCGGAACCCGGCAGCTTTTGGCAGAAATGTGAATGCAGTAAGCTATGCATTAAGCTTTAGCGCTGTGCCCCACCCCCCAGGAGGGAAAGGATATCTGTCTCTTCCACCTACCCCCTACCCCTCCCCGCCCCCCGCAGCACGGTGGCCACTGCCTCAGAGCTTATTGGACAGCCAGGTATGAGCCAGTGGTGACGTGGCAACTGTGGCCTTATGGGATGGGGGGTACTGGCATGCCCTTCCCGCCCTGCTGAGACCACAAGTTGCCCCCCACGAGCAGCTCTCTTGGCACGACCATGGACCCGGAGGCACACAAACCAATCTCGGAACTATGCTGCTTTGGGCAGAAATCTCTCCAGATTTAATTAGCAAAATATCAGAAATCCAAAACTTTGTGGCCACGGGAGTGGCCGCGCAACATCATAAGATCTTCATAACCAGCAATAGAAAACAAATTATTTCATGATGCCTTTTCAGCAGGTCTGATTGTTGGGGTAAAATTCCAAATAATAATGGTGCATCTTTTGTTGAAATAATGAATATAATCAAAATAAAGAGAGAGTTAAGTGGAAATCTTCTGCCTCACAGGCATGGGGAGGGATGGGATGAGGGGTACATTGGGGTTTTTGGTGGTGCAAAATATGCACTGGTGAAGGGATGGGTGTTCAATCATTGTATGACTGAGACTTAAACCTGAAAGCTTTGTAACTGTTGTCATGGTGATTCAATAAATTAAAAAAAAAAGAAAAGAAAGAATTTTGCTATCATTTCTTCCATGTGTTTGTGAAAGGGCAAGTGACAGCCCTTGGCTATCTTAACAACATTTAATCATATCTTTGGTACTTTCAGTGGTTTGCATTAAGATAGAAACCAAAGGGAGTGTTTAGGGCTAACTTGGAATGACAGCCTTGCAACATCCATTAGACAGTAAAACAAAGCAGGTAGGGACTTCATAGGAGCTATATTAAAAAGAAAAGTTTTATCAAATTGTACTTTTTTTCACTATATAGTACTCAGTAATTTTATTTCTATTTTGTTAAGTTATCAACTAAAAGTTCTGATAAGAGCCACTAAATTTATTTGAGGGCCCGTTTATGGATCACAAACAGCAAACACCGTTTTCAAGACAGAGTGTTTTCAAAGTGTAATCCCTTGTGACTTTTGAGATAAGTATGTGTGGAAACAAGTGAGTGAGAAGGTCTCTGTGCTCTCTGAGAAAGTTGAAGTGCTCTTCCTGGTAGATACACTTCTCTCTCACCCTTTTTGCCTGTTCTGTTCCTGTAAACACTTAATATTTAATTAACTTTTACATTAATGTCTTATTTTTTTTTTTAAGTTTTTGGGTCATGGAAGGCCATGCTCAGGGATTCCTCCTGGATTTGCACTCAGGAATTACTCCCGGCAGTGCTTGGGAGGACCATATAGGGTGCTAGAGATTGAATTGGCTCAGACATGTTCAAGTGCCCTACCAGCTGTACTATTTCTCCAGCCCTCACATATTAATGGCTCTTGACCATTTTTGAATTGCAGTGTTTTTCACTTTCAGTTTTTTAAAAAAACATTGAGTTTAAAATTCTTTACTATCAGTCTTTTAAAATAGACAGTTCATGGAGACAGAGCAATCCTTAGGACCCCATATTGTGCCCTGGGCACAGAGGAGTGACCCTTGACTGTGGAGTAAATCCTGAACACCACCAGGTGGGGCCCAGGCCCCCACCAAAAGGAAAAGGAATAAAACTGCACAGTTAGTGGTTGTCAGTTTGTTCATTTTATGTTACCAATCTGATTAGAATATTTATATTATCTTCTTTTCCAAAATACCTAGTCTCTCCTCCTTCAGTCTCCTGCTTAGCACTAATCTGCTCTCTCTGCCTGTAGTTCTACATTTTATTCATGTCTTATAAATGGAGTTATACAATATGTATCTCCCCTTTTTATCTGCTATTTTGCATATTTCATTTTACGATTGAATGATATTTGGATGCACCATATTTTGTTTATGCATTCATCAGTCATTGGCATTTAAGTTGTTTGCACTTACTGTTACAGTGAATAAAGGGTCTTCTTTAGTAATGCAGTGAAAGATGGGTCCATGTTTACTAGAAAAAAATGCATAGTATTCTATATAGGCAGAATAAGACAGAGCCGGTTCACAGGTGTAAAAATGGTTGAAATTACTGAGTAGAATGATCTCTTTCGTGCATAGAATCCCCTGTATTTGTGTTTGACTTGTTAGGTTGCAGCTGTCATTTGGCAAACTAAATACATAAAAGATACAAAAGGCAAAGAATAATAGAACATGCTTACAGGTTCGGTTTACCTTGCATCTTCCCACTTTTATTCTCTAAAGAAAGTGTCTTTGTGAAAGAATAGTAAAAGAATTTTAATATGCAAATGTATTTCTGACTAGATATGTTCCTTTATTGGTTTAAAGTGCTATGGTGTTAGTGATAGCATTAAACAAAAAAGATCTAAGATATGTGTACATTTGAACACAAGTAACAATTTTCATATTTTTGCATGCATGCAGCCAAAGCAAAGGACTTCCGTTATAATTTATCAGAGGTACTTCAAGGTAGGCTAATTGAGATGCATTTTAAGACTACTTGTTTTAGTTTCTATAGCTTCATCCTTATACTTCCAATATAGTTATCACCTGCATAAGAAAATCTAAGTGGTAGGACCAGTTTTTCCTTCTATATTTGTCAGAAGGTACAGTATTTTCTCGTTGTGTGTGTGTGTGTGTGTGTGTGTGTGTGTGTACGTACGCATGCACGCACGTGCACTATTTGAACTGTGCTACCTGTAAGCCCTTGCCGATAAGAGCGCAATTGTAGTTACAGTTTCTTTGGAATAAGAAAAGCTTTTTATCTCTTATAATCATCTTTGTTATTAATGTACTAAGTCAGACTTCTGCTTAATACCTTTGGTATTTTACCAAGTAATATAAAATCTCTGAGAGGGAATAAAAGTTGGTTCTACTCCAAAGTTCCACCTACTTTTATACAGTGTCGTAATTTACTTTTTTGTTAAAGAAATGGTAATAGTGCTGCCAATTGGATGTGCAGTAATAATGCTATATTTGTGTATCTTTGTACATTAGTATATTTCTTCAGTGATTGTTCAGTGAATTATATAAATCATGTTGACTGAAATTTTTTTAGGGAATTAAATATATTTGACTTATATTTGAAATGCTAAATTAAAAAATAGCAGTACTTCTAAGTAATTCAACAGTAAAGTCTTAGAACGTATATTTGTTATTCTGGAAGACAAAGGGACATGGTAGTGTTGTCATATTAGCTAATCTGTTTTAAGCATTATTTTTCTTAGTAATGGATAGCCAGTGCTAAAGTATACTGACTTTGTAATTTTGTAAATCTAGTTTTGAATAGTATTTCTGGAACTCTTTTTTATTAGTGCTAAGGTTGATTCATGATGTTTCTGTTGTAAGTCATTGTAAATTGTAAAATTGTAATCCTTCTTTTTGTTGTTTATTTGTTGCTTGTTTTTGGATCACACCAGTACTGCTCAAGGCTTACTTCTGGTCCTGATCTGAGATCACTCCTGGCTGGACTTGGGAGCCATCAGGGGTGCCAGGGATGAAATCCAGGCACGCCTCATGCAAGGCAAACTCCCTGATGGGGTTCTGATGCTCCAGCTCCAAATTTTAGTATTTTATATAGTCCTTGAGGCATGGTATGTTGAGCATTGATGTTGCAAATAACTTTCACACATTAGACTGTTCGTTTAACTGCTGGCTGTGTATTGATAGTTGTTTTTTTTTGTTATTGTTCATTTTTGGTATGCCAGACATTTTGCCTAAAATATTTTTTTGCGTTATTCTGAAATAATTAAAGCAGAATAATATTAAACCCTAGACAAGATATTATTTTAGTTGTTTCTTATGTTTGTTAAGTGAGCATTTTCTGAATCTCTTGAGGGAATTGCCCATTATTTTAAATTAAAGTTCTTATTTGGTACTTCTTTTTAGGATTAAATGACAAATCATGAATTATATCAGGTGATAATATTATAGTTGATGTTCAGTACTACTTTCACCTTTATTTTCCATTTTGTTCCCCATTTCCCTTCTCCTTGTTATAGGAAAACTGGGAGTTTATGATGCTGATGGTGATGGAGATTTTGATGTGGAAGATGCCAAGGTTTTATTAGGCAAGTATACATTTTATTTACTATTAGTGTTGGTAGACTGAAAATAAAAGAATATTTTTGCTTTGATAGTGTCCTTTTAATAATATACATTTTTATGGACGATATTTTCTTATTTAAATCAAACATTTTGTTGCAGTGTTAAATGACTTATGTAACTTTTCATACACAGTTTAGTTTACTTTTCTAAATGGACAGGTTTATAGCTTTTATACATATAATTTAAACAGCTATAGTAATTTCATATTAAAGCACTTAATATTCTGAATTTAACTTTACAATATGAAGATAATTTCTTAGTCTGTTTTCAAATATGGTTATTACTGCCATTCCTCAAGCATCATTTAATATTATTTACTTCCTTTTAAAATTGTAAATTTCTAAAGGCTTACATAAATTTGTTTTATAGTAATATATAGTAATTGGTGGTGTTAGTAAATATCAAAATGCCCTATATATTTTTAAAGATAATATTAAAATATGTATGAGCAATTTATGGTAGGGTTTCTGTATTTTGAATGTCATGGATTCTTCTCTTTCTATAACCAGGATTACCTGCCAAATAAAGATATTCTATGCCCCTTTTTTTGTATGCTCTCTTACCAGGAAGGCTGCTGCTAATTTTAGTATGCATATTTTATATAACTTAGCCTCAGATGAGAGATAGATTTGTTTGCGGGAAGTTCTATTTTGTATTCTTTAATTGTAGCATAATAGGTGTTAAAACTATTTTTTATCGACATCTTTTGAAAAATAATGAAGATGGCATGATATTGTACACTAAGATTAATAGGAAATTAGAAATGGCACAAAGAAACTCTTCCTTTACACATACATAAACTTGGATATATTTTATGGGTATAAAAAAAGTTGATGTCATCTGTATAATCAATAAAACTTTTCGTAAGATTAATTTGCCTCAAAACAGTAAGTTCTAGATATGAAAAATAGAGTTTCAATTGTGAATAAATATAAAAAATTTTGACTGTAGCTCATATTTTCTTACTAATGCTCAGTGGGACTAACCTTCGCTTCTTAAGTTATTCATGATGTTTTTTTTTCCTGTTTTACCTTAATGGAGCTTTTATGTTTTATTACTCTGTGTTTTTACTTTGCTTTTAAATGATGAATTCTGAATAGCAAAGATTTTTTAAATTTATTTGGTAGTGGCAATTCATTGTTCAGAGAAGTCAGGGACCACTTCTGTGTGACAATCAGCCACCCAGGCTGGACAGTTCAATTTTAGGGCCCTGGTGATAGTGTTGCTGGATCCAGATTTGTTTGGGGCACTGAGGCTTACTCAGTGGGACTTGGGGTCAGTGTATAGTGCCAGAGATCAAACTTGAGGCATTGTGTGTGCAAGTCATACACCCCTGGCCCCTGAGCTGTCTCCCTGCTGCTCCTTTATCCCAAGCTTTGTATTTATTTTTAAAATAACTTCAGGCAGACCAGTTTCCCTAATTTTTAAAAGTACTATTCTTTCCAAAGTCTATTTTGAATTGGGGTGGGTGAGGGGGCGGCATAAAATCAGCTCTCAGGTCTGTCAGGTAGAAAAAAGTCAATTATGAAACATTGAAGCATTTTGTTATTTATAATTATGCAAATTTATTTTCATATAAAACTTGATAATTTGATATTTAATGTATTTTCACTTCAGTTTCTTCCCTTTAAAGTTTTTTGGGGGGGCTGGAGCGATAGTACTGCGGGTAGGGTGTTTGCCTTGCACGCGGCCAACCCGGGTTCAATTCCCGGCATCCCATATGGTCCCCCGAGTACTGCCAGGAGTGGTTTCTGAGTGCAGAGCTAAGAATGACACCTGAGCATCGCCAGGTGTGACCCAAAAAGCAAAAAAAAAAAAAAAAAAAAAAGTTTTTTTGGAACTATTAAATTAATTTTAACAGAACATTGCCATTTGCATGTAGAAAAATTAGAAGGGGCAAATCATAACTGTTTCCTCTTGTAAGAACTTGATATGTAGCGGGATAACCAGGAGTGGTTCATCTCAGTGCTCATTTTGATAATATGGCCATTTAATGTACAAATGCTAAGATGAACTTCTTGTCCTCATTCACAGAGAATTTGCAGCTGACATATGCCACAGATTAGTTGTCAGACTCACACATCAACAGTGTTTGCATTTTCTACGTAAAGTACATAATTTTCTTAATTGGAAATGAATTTATGGCTACAATTATTTTTTTCTAATTTTTGAAGCTTCTTACTGTGCCTCTGTGCTGTTCATGGCGCAGATGGTTGGAAAGAGAGAACCTCGCGATGCTCTTGAGGTCTGGAGAGATTAGTGAACTCTGTCTAGTTAGTCGGCACTCTCAAAGAATCCAGACTTCTTGTTTCAGTTGTCATTAGAGAGGTGGCTCAAGACCAAGGGCTTTGGGTCAAGGCAGAGGGGGAGTCCACAGGAAAAGATATGAAATCAGAAATGGGAGACCATGACATACTAGGCCCACTAAATAGTTAAAATATGTTGAACTGTCACAGATATGGGTGTTTATTTTCTGTTTCTTTCTGATTTCTCAATTCTGCATAGATCTTAATCTTACCAATTTGAGGAAATATATAGCACTCATATTTACTTTTTCACATTTTAAAGTTTGATCAAAAGTTTAAACTTTCCATGTGAAATATAAAAAATGAAAAATATGTGTGCATAAATCAAGATCAATAATCAAGATTATTTTTATTTGATTACTTCTGGCCAAAACCCGTAACTTTGAAAGTGTTCTAAGTCTTTTTTGCATTGCTTTCCTACTTTCATGGTGAAGTTAATTTGGGGACGGGAAAGTATCTTTTGATTTTGGTTTGAACTATGGTGAAGCAAGGCATGGTTTGGAAAACATGTTTTAAGTAAAATCTATATATTCATAAAATCAGATAAGATCAGTATGCGTAAGATCAGCAGGAAAATGACCTGAAGGAATAAAGGCATAGAGTAGCACCATTTTTTTGTCCTTTTGTCCTATGACCTAATTGGCATCCTACCAGAAATGGCTGTAGAACAGAGGGGAAACAGTCAACAGCCCTAAGAGTCTTGATGAATGTTGGTGACTGGACAGCAAAGACGTCAGTGAGCTGAAGGCAGGCAAGACTGAACCCTGCTGAGTCAAAGACTCTCTGGGTTAGACCTAGTCCTTTAAGTTAAGGAACTTGTGTATGTCACGTATTCTCATTTCCTTTTGGCATTCTTTTGTCGTAAGATTCACAGGAAGGTGGAAAAGAACATAGTTGCTGGGAACGTAGTTCTGTTCAAGCTCTTGTGCATTTGTTGCTCACTTTAGCCTGTCACTTCCAAAGGGTGGTGGTGTTTTATGTTTTATATTTGATACCTGGAGCTATTACAGTGGAAAATGGAGAAAAATAAAAATGTTTATTCCAGGTACCTAGCTATAGTGCTTTAGGGCAAAAAAGGATAGGAACTGTTATTCCCATAGAGACTGGTTGGAAATATAGATCTCTGTTCATTGCACTTGTCAACTGTCAACTTCAGTGTAAAAACGTTACAGGTTCTTGAGGAAATAATTGAGATACCAACTGCAATTTGTGTTCTTAAGCTCCCATGTGTATAGAAAGAAGGACTGATACAGTTCTGTGTGGAGAAAATGCACTATATTCTTTAACACTTATACTAGTTGTCTTATTTCTTTCCTGCTAATCTTGATTGTGGATTAATTATACGCCGTGGAGAAACTTTGTGTTGCTGAACCTCTGAATTAGATGATCATAATTTGAAGCTTTCTGAAATCACAGATATTTATATTTTTTACAGCCGGAAACCTCCACTGTGTTGTTTCCTTCTCAGAATTGTGGGCCTTGCTAGAGCTTGGCACTATTGGTGGACTTGGATCCCAACAGGAGTCAAGAGAACATTCCTGCGCAAAGTTAGTTCTTCACAGAAAAAAAATAACAGATGAAAACAATATAAATGTTGCTTTCTTTTCATCAACCAGTAACTTTGATTCAGGAACCAAAGCCATTGGCTTAGGAGAACCTGAATCATAGGAGGTGGCCTGTTTGTTTGTGCATCAGTATTTAGAAACAGCAGTCAGTAGAAGTTTTTGCAATAAAAGTTTTTTATTTCGTGGACTGATGGGGAGCGAACAGGTTGGAATGTTCCTATTGCAGATGACTAGTGTTGGACTTGATCATATTTCATATTTACAGCAGAGTGAATTGTTATTAATAGATATCTCAGTATTAGAAGTACAAGACCCCGGAGCTGGAGAGATAATACAGCAGGTGCTTGCCTTGCACGTGGCTGATGGGGATTCAATACCCAGCATCCCTTTAGGTTCTCCAACTCCTGCCAGGAATAACCCCTGAGCATTGCCAGGTGTGGCCAAAAAAAAAAAAATGAAACAAAGAAAAAAAATTGCAAGACCATGAGTCAGTAGCTACAGAGCACTATAGGGATATCACATTTCATAATGTAACAGTTTAATTGTAACATAATTTGAATGCATTTATATCAGTCAATAGAGGTGAAACAGTAAGACTGCTAATTATACAATTCCAGATTTTTCCTGCTGAGAGGAGAAGTTTCAGGAAATGAACCTCTATTTTCAATGAATATTTGTTTAGATGTATATGTATATGTGTATATGTGTGTGTGTGTGTGTGTAAAACTCTATAATCAACTCTCGATAATATCTGTCAGTAAATGAAGGCAACTGACGGTTGTCAGTGTGTCACTTGTTGCCTTTGCATTGCTTTTACTTACTCTTCTGATTAGTATTAGTTGAGTTTGGCTGATTGATCATTTTCAGCTTTGGAGCTGTAGATTTCTTTCATGAGAGAAAGGCAAACTGGTTCAGGGCTGGTAGGTCTGGAGCCTGCGTCAGATTGTGCCTTTCCTTTGTTTTGTACATATGATTGAGAGTTGATTGTAAGGTGTGCATCTTAATCAATTTCTTGATTTTTCAAAGTATCTTTTCTGTAAACTTCTGTGACCATGATGCACTCCTTTGTGAAGTCACTCTTCCTCGCCTTCT